TTCTGACCAAATCTGTCTGTTTATTATATTTTTCTGAACAGTCACTGTTTAAACCTCATGATAGAAAATGGTTTGCACTTAGCAGAAATCACATGTAATTATAGTATTTGTTAATATATTATTATTTCCAAACGTTGCAAAGCAAGAATTTGGTCTGGACTAGATGTCTACAAAACCCCAGATACTAGTGCATGAGGCCGTAGTCCTGCCTGGTTAAGCCGTGTGATAAACTCCCATGTATTTTGTATATACGTGTATATGCTATGTTATAGTTTGTATATACTATGTTATATTTTATATATACTTGTATATACTATGCAATATTTTATATATACTTGTATATACTATGTTATATTTTATATATACTTGTATATACTATGTTATATTTTATATATATACTTGTATATACTATGTTATATTTTATATATATACTTGTATATACTATGTTATATTTTATATATACTTGTATATACTGTTATATTATATATATATATGTGTTTATATACTATGTTATATTTTTTATATACTTGTATGTACTATGTTATATTTTATATATGCTTGTATATACTATGTTATATTTTATATATACTTGTATATACTATGTTATATTTTATATATACGTGTAAATACTATGTTATATTTCATACATACTTGCATATACTATGTTATATTTTTGAATATACTTGTATATACTATGTTATAGTTTTATATATATACACTTGTAGATACTATGTTATATTTTATATATACGTGTATATGATATGTTATATTTTATATATACTTGTATATGCTATGTTATAGTTTGTATATACTTGTATATACTATATTTTATATATATACGTGTAAATACTATGTTATATTTTATATATACTTGTATATATCATGTTACATTTATATATACTTGTATATACTATGTTATAGTTTTATATATATACTTGTATATACTATGTAATATTTTATATATAGGTGTATATACTATGTTATATTATATATATATATATATATATATATATATATATATACTTGTATATACTATGTTATATTTTTATATATATACTTGTATATACTATGTTATATTTTATATATACTTGTATATACTATGTTATATTATATATATATGTGTGTTTATATACTATGTTATATTTTTTATATACTTGTATGTACTGTGTTATATTTTATATATGCTTGTATATACTATGTTATATTTTATATTTTCTTGTATATACTATGTTATATATATATATATATATATATATATATATATATATATATATATATATATATATATATATAGTATATATACATAGTATATATACATAGTATATAAACATATATATATATATATATGTTTATATACTATGTTATATTTTATATATACTTGTATATACTATGTTATAGTTTACATAAATTTGCATGTACTATGTTATATTTTATATATATATACTTGTATAAATTATGTTATATTTTATAAATATACTTGTATATACTATGTTATATTTTAGATATACGTGTATATACTATGTTATATGTTATATACATACTTGTATTTACTATGTTATTTTTTAGATATACGTGTATATACTATGTTATATTTTATATACATACTTGTATATACTATGTTATATTTTATATAAATATACTTGTATATACTCCTTAAAATACCCAAGTAAAAAAAACTGCTCCAGAAATGTTGAGCCATCCTGAGAGTGAGTTGGGGTTGGATAATCAAATCAAATCAAATCACTTTTATTGGACTCACGTCACATGTGCAGGTACACTGGTACAGTACATGCGAGTGAAATTCTTGTGTGCGAGCTTCACAGCAACAGAGTTATGCAAAAATACAGTCATGTAAAAACAAGTAAAATATAAAAATGGCTAATCTAAGTAATAATATGTATAAATTGTAATGTATATACATTGCTAAATGTTTATGCAAGTATATTATTATTTTTTAATATATTGTTCTCTAATAATTAAATTATTATATAATTATTGGTTTGTACCATCCCAAATCCTTCTTTAAAGGACACATGCTGACTTTTTTTAAAGATATAATAGTTCAGTGGTTGATACCAAACATGTTTATAGGGCACTAAATCCATCTCACATGAAGCTATTTCAGCAGTTTTATCCTGGACCGTTTCAGTACCTGCCAGAATGAACTGTGTTTGGGCTCTGTCACTTTAGGAAAACAAGGTGGAGCTGACCAATCCCAACCCTCCCCTGATTGGCTGCTATGAGGTGAGGAGCTCAGACATCCTGGAGGGGTTCAGAGTAGAGATGTTGCTCCTCTAGCAGCACGTGAGCGGTGGCTCTGATCTAATTTCACTTTTTGAAATGGCTCGGTTTTGGCACACCGTTCCTAAAATCAAACAGCTGGATGGATTTTTCCCATTATGAGTGTTCATGGCCCCACATGACCCCACATGGCCCCTCCGCTCTGCACATCCCACGTGAGCCTATAAATGTTTCTACACTGTTGGTGATGCTGACCCAATCTCACATACATTCTAAATAACTCTACATGAAAGTGCCTGTGTGACATCTGAGACATGTTTCTTTATTTAACCTTTATTTAAACAGACGAGTCGATTGAGAACTCATTCTCATTTACAGCGATGATCCGGCCAATAGGCAGCAGCAGCAGAGCTCTGATCCTGGACTGGGTTTGTAAATGCAGGAAGAAAATCCTGAGAAAAATGTCACGGATGTGAATTCAGCTACTAAATCTGGGATAACCGTCTGGCCTACCCACCCCTAACCCATCAGGGAGCCTCGTGTGTCACAGCTTCAGATTCGCCCAGACTTTTAAAAAAAAAAGTTTAACAAAATAAAAGATAATGTGTCTTTATTGTGTTTCTGACCACCGAGAATTTTATCTCTTGCCCTGTTTATGCGTTTAGCAGACACTTTTTTCCAGAGTGACTTGCAGGTGGTGATCGAGCCAGCAGGTTGCCTTTGAGGCCAACAGCAAACACGTTTAAGCTCCACACAGCAGCAATCAGACGGCACGTCCATAGGAAAAACATTTTATTGAAAAACATTTTCAGTTTGTAACAGACTGGTGGAATGTGTGTCATTTATCGTCTCTCTGAAACAGATTTAAAGTTTTAGAGTGCGGAAACCCTTCAGACCGGCCACGTCCAACTGTGGGAGGGGGCAGGGACAAAGAAACTGGGCAAATATAATACTGTCACTTACAAACGGGACTGGAATCAAACCAACAGCATGTAAAAGGAACAAAATAAGCTAATTCAATAAATATTTATGGTACACACTTATGGCACAAATATGCAGCAGTCGGTTTGGCAACTCTCTCTCTAAACCAAATTCTGGTGGAAACAGTGCAAAACAGGAGAAGTGAGGCGGACACGGGCTTCCATAGAGCGCTAGCTAAAATACATAGCAAAAAATCCAAATTTTATACAAAACATCTGACTTTAAGAGTTTATAAAAGTGTTTTATTGGGTTCTGGTCCGTATTTACATAAGCTATATACCAAAAAGAAGTATTATGCTCTGTTTTACCCAAGTCTTTAACTTTTTTCTTTTTTTCCCAGTTTTAACTTTCCTACAAAGGTGAGTAAGGCTACCATAACAACCCAGGATCCATCTACAAAACAAACATGGAGTATTTACAGGTTTTACCTACAGAAGTACGGTGCAAAAGTACTGAGTCGAGTGACCGAAGGTTGACCGTACGGGTCGTATGGCTCGTACAAGCCCTTAGACCCATATAAGTCATACGGGTCGTACGGGTCATACGAGCCCTTAGACCCATATAAGTCATACGGGTCGTACGGGTCATACGAGCCCTTAGACCCATATAAGTCATACGGGTCGTACGGGTCATACGAGCCCTTAGACCCATATAAGTCATACGGGTCGTACGGGTCATACGAGCCCTTATAGACCCATATAAGTCATACGGGTCGTACGGGTCATACGAGCCCTTAGACCCATATAAGTCATATGGGTCGTACGAGCCCTTAGACCCATATAAGTCATACGGGTCGTACGGGTCATACGAGCCCTTAGACCCATATAAGTCATACGGGTCGTACGGGTCATACGAGCCCTTAGACCCATATAAGTCATACGGGTCGTACGGGTCATACGAGCCCTTAGACCCATATAAGTCATACGGGTCGTACGGGTCATACGAGCCCTTAGACCCATATAAGTCATACGGGTCGTACGGGTCATACGAGCCCTTAGACCCATATAAGTCATACGGGTCGTACGGGTCATACGAGCCCTTAGACCCATATAAGTCATACGGGTCGTACGGGTCATACGAGCCCTTAGACCCATATAAGTCATACGGGTCGTATGGCTCGTACAAGCCCTTAGACCCATATAAGTCATACGGGTCGTACGGGTCATACGAGCCCTTAGACCCATATAAGTCATACGGGTCGTACGGGTCATACGAGCCCTTATAGACCCATATAAGTCATACGGGTCGTACGGGTCGTACGGGTCATACGAGCCCTTAGACCCATATAAGTCATACGGGTCGTACGGGTCATACGAGCCCTTAGACCCATATAAGTCATACGGGTCGTACGGGTCATACGAGCCCTTAGACCCATATAAGTCATACGGGTCGTAAGAGCCCTTAGACCCATATAAGTCATACGGGTCGTACGGGTCATACGAGCCCTTAGACCCATATAAGTCATACGGGTCGTACGGGTCATACGAGCCCTTAGACCCATATAAGTCATACGGGTCGTACGGGTCATACGAGCCCTTAGACCCATATAAGTCATACGGGTCGTACGGGTCATACGAGCCCTTAGACCCATATAAGTCATACGGGTCGTACGGGTCATACGAGCCCTTAGACCCATATAAGTCATACGGGTCGTACGGGTCATACGAGCCCTTAGACCCATATAAGTCATACGGGTCGTACGGGTCATACGAGCCCTTAGACCCATATAAGTCATACGGGTCGTACGGGTCATACGAGCCCTTAGACCCATATAAGTCATACGGGTCGTATGAACAAGGCATTTTACAGTCGCCTGAGGGACTTCTCCTAGCCCACTGCTAAAGACTCCCACAGCATCGCTACAATGCCCCGGGTCAGAACCAGAGCCAGGTCAGAGCCAGCTTCAGTCAAGATGTAGCTAAGAAAAGACGTCCGATTGAAAGAAACTAAGAAGATTGTCAGATTCTGCCGCAGACACAACAACTAAACGACCGTTTCCGGCGTTTCAGATACCTGTTCAGGTGAGTCGATACGCTCTATTTCACAGTTTGTCCTACGGCACAGAGAACAGAAAGGTGGACACAACCCCAGAACTAATGCAGGAGAACGCTACCAGCAGACTCGTAGTTTGTTGTTACATCTCAGTGGTTAAGAACACTTTCCATTGTTGTTTTTTTCTGAATCGATTAAAAAAATAAATAATTGCATATTTGCAGATTTTGTCGCCTCTCAGAGGCAGAAACCTCAGGTCAGACGAGGCTTGGCTTCTCGGTGAATTCTGATGTTTATGAGTCAATGAGGATGGCTGATAGAGGCGTTTGTTAGTGGTGTTTATGAGCCCACACACACACACACACACACACACACACACACGCTCAGATAAACACATGAGGAACATGACGAGGTGCATGAAGAGAGTCGGGCACGCCGGGTGTTCATGGGAACTTTGGGACAAACAGCTACTCTGCACTTGTTTACACTAATGCACGTTGTTTGGGGCAAGATACCCTTGAACCAGAACCGGTACCAGGACCTGTAGCCCAGTCCAAAGCCCGGTCCTCCTTCTAGGGCTCAGTGGCTTCAACGATATCAATCACAAACCTAGATTGCATAATGTGCATGTATACCACTTATATATTAAAATGAGCTCCGCCTCCTGTCTACTGATCACACCTGTGCTCTGTGTGTCTATCATAAATAAACGTAGCTTTTCATCCTATTTTGTGTTTTCATGTCATCATAAATGTCATTATTTTCACTTAAAGAGGGCAAGGAGGAAACACTAACGGAGCGACGGCGAGTTTTTGTCCCTGTCTGTGAAGAAAAGAGAGGGAGAGCACCAGTCACGCTGATGTTTGGGACCTCAGGGTACCCTTAGTAATCACTGGACCCCTGGGGGTCAAAGGTTACAGTACCTGGAGCTGTTTCAGCCAGCTAAGCTAGCCTCAACCAGATCTCGGGCCTCTTCTTACAGCAGTAAGGCGAACTGGGTTCTTATTGCCCCGAATGCTTTCCAGGTCCAAGAGGACAGGATACGGCTGCTCTCTGACCTCTGGACCGGGCCGTGTCTCGGTGGACCTCTGAGCAGAGTGGACGGACTAAAGGAACCAGAGTGAAAGTGCTGCACTATGTGGGGGAAAAGTCCTCCACTCTGCAGGATCCACCTGAGCAGACCGTGGTTTAGCCCAGTCGGGTCCGGTCGCTTCGGGGCGACCCTTTCATCGGGAAAACAGAACTACTTGCAGGTGAACTAAACCAGATATGATCAGAAACTAAAACCAGGACAACACAGGATCCGTAAAACCTCCAGATGTTTCTGTGCATCGTGTGGGTGGTGAAAGGGTGAAAGTCCCAGAGAGGTCCGCATCTCTCTGCATCCAGCTGGTGGATCCACACAGAACCTGTCCTTTGGATCCACGCCGGCTCGTTTCCCACCGTCTCTGTCTGTGTCCTTCATCCTCTCACATATTAACATATCCAAATATCCTTCCGTCCAACTTTCTGTGCATCTGTCTCATCAACACTCCCTCCATCCCAGAACTCGGGTCACGGTGCGCAAAACAAAACGGCGCTGAGGGAGAAGAGCCGGTCCTCCCGCTCCCAGAGAGCAGCAGCAGCTTCAAACTACCTCCCAACGGGAGCAACAGGCCAAATGTGGAGAGGAAAGAAAAGTGACAACAAATCATAGGACAGGAGAGACGGAGAGTGAGAGCGGGACAGTTTGTCCATGGGTCTGAAGCACCGACCCAAACCAGCTCTGCATCCGTGGTCTTGTCCAGCTCCTGGGTTCCCGGCCCCGGATCAAACTTTATAGTAGATGTTAGCCGGGCTCTGTGGCGGCATCTCTTGGACGATGTAGACCGGATGTCCGTAGTCCCCGCTGACCTTCTCGTAGTGCGGACAGAAGACGCTGTCAGCAGTCCTGAGTGGGATGATGATGTCGCTGGGCTCCGAGCCATTGTTGTTCCCGCCGCCGCTGCTCCGTTTGGGCGTGGCCAGCGTGCTCAGTGAAAGCGTGGCTGTGTGCTGCGGAGAGTGCTTTCGGTGGCGCCTTCGGTACTTCAGCAGCAGCAGAACCAGCATGATGATGATGATGATGAAGATGACGCTGCCCGAGGCAATGCCGACAAAGATGGCTACCTCAGAGCCGATGATGCTGGAGGACTTCCCTCCGTTCTCGTTGGGTTCTCTTTCCCCCCCCTCTCTGGAATCTGCCGGAACAACAGAAAAGAGTCAAGCAGCCGGAAGACTTTTGGAAAAGAGACGAACTGTCACAGGGTTCTCCGGAGCATACAGAAGTGTGTTAACACGGGGAGCAACAGCTCCCGCTGCTCATTAATCTGGGAAGGGTCAAAGGTCATCTCCAAACCACTGAGACAGATGCTCTTCTAGCAGAGGACAGCCCAGCCGGTTTACCCACAGGTCAGAGGTCAAAAAACTCAAGAGCTCCATCTGCAGGCCCCAGTTAGCAGGTTTAAGGTCAAAGGTCATGGCAGCTTCACCTAGGGCCGTAGATTCACCTAAATGAACTACCGGACGTCTGAGACCAACGTGGAGCTCTCTACCCATAATGCACTGCAGCACAATCATCTAATCCCTGTGTTCTAGAGTGACCTGAAGTCTGGATCATAACACAGAACCATGATCCAAACGCAGCATTAGATCTACAACAGAACCAATCAGAGATCCGATCAGAACCTGCCTAATCCTTTAGGATTCTCCATGTTTTCACACACCTAATCCAGAAGACTCCGGTCTGACGTTCCATGCGTGGATTTGTTAGTGAAACTCAGATGCAGAGCTTTTGTGGGAAGGTCACATCTGATCCACAGCAGAAACTCCGACCTTGGATCTGGGGCGTCGCTGTCCGGCAGCAGACGCATCCCAGCCAACGCCGTTCAGGTGAATTACAGTCGGACAGGCAGCAACGGCTGCTCCACTTTCTGGCTCCCAGAGATGGATCCTCTGGTTCTGATCCAGCACCGAGGACAGGCTGTTCTCCCCGGGGCAGGAGAGTGTTTCCTGACTAGGCAAGATTACTGCGTTCCTCCTCGGCTCCCCTGTGGGTCTTGAGCCGAGGTAGTTAAGAGCTAACTGAGGTAACCAAAGCTAACGGAGATGGGTGGGCGCTTTCAGCCAGAAAACCGCGGCTTAGCGACTCGGCTACGCTCTGCCTTCCAGGCTGTAACACTTTAACTCTGTAAGACTTCCCGGAGCAAGTAGCTAGCGAAAGGTCTGGCGGCTAATCTGCTACCTGTCAATCAAATGGACACACCCCTAATTATTTACAATTTAAATCTTTAATTACATCTAAACAGATGCATTACAATAACATCACCCCCTCAGAGATGTCACGACTGTAAACTAGATCTATTAAAGCTAGAATGGCTTTTGAACCAGGCAGTAAACATGTTTGTTCCTGCTGTGAAGTCACGCTTTTAACATGGGAGTCAATGGGAACATGCTCTTTTCTGGAGCCTGCCCCTAGTGGATGAGGAAGGAACTGCAGTTGTGTCACTTCCATGTGAGATTCACATTTAGCAGCTGCAGTTTTCCCCCTGGGCTCTAACGAGTGGGATCGGTACCGCCGTGTCATTAGGAGACACAAAGGTGGAGGTGAGACCATGCCATACAGGTGTGGCCATCAGATCGTTTACCTGAAACCTCTAAAAAGGAGGCTTAAAGCTGGAATAAGACACTCCTGAGGAGACACCTCAGAGGAGACACCTCAGGAGTTCTGGAGGGGCCAGAGATCCCTATCCGTTTTACAGGCAACATAACCTCTCCACACACACACACACACACCTGGTTGGCTCTTACAAACTACTTAACACCACCTGAGTGAACAGCTGAGCTCTAAACACCCATAAATCCTGCAGGTGTCTCAGGAAAAAGTCTCACCTGTTTTGAGCGGGACTTCATTGTGTTTGTTGTTGTTGTCTGGTGGAGAGAAGGTCACTCTGGGTGAAACGTCCTTAGGTGGGTCTGGGTCAGAGGGATCTGAGGGAGACCAGAAGATCTGGGATTAGAAGTCCGGATCTGCTAGGACCAGCAGGCTAACTGTGTGTGTGTGTGTGTGTGTGTGTGTGTGTGTGTGTGTGTGTGTGTGTGTGTGTGTGTGTGTGTGTGTGTGTGTGTGTGTGTGTGTGTGTGTGTGTGTGTGTGTGTGTGTGTGTGTGTGTGTGTGTGTGTGTGTGTGTGTGTGTGTGTGTGTGCGCGTGTGTGTGTGTGGTGAAATACTCACTCTGTCCCACTTTCATGACAATCTTCATGGACTTGGTCCTACAGACTCCTCCCTCCTGGTTATCGATGCCCTCCATGGTGCCATTAGATGTGGCTGTAGGAGGCGAAACCACACAAACAAGGTTAGCCTTAGGGGTGTGTGTGTGTGTGTGTGTGTGTGCGTGCATGCGTGTGCCCCCGAAGAGAAGAGCGGTTTATTAAAATGTGTTTCAGGTCTAAAGGTATCAGATGTGGAGATGGAGACGATCTGACGGGACAAGGAGAAAAACAGAGAATGACAGGAAACATGACGTTTCAGCTACGTGTAAAAATCTTATCCGAACAGCCTCTGTTTGGAGAAAGAGCTTACATCCTACAGAACTGATGAGCTAACGGCTAGATGGAATCTGAAGCTAACTTTGATCTTCTGAATATCTCAGCAGGTTCATGAGGAGTTGGTTCATAAACATGGTCCATCAGTTTCATGATGACTACAGAAGAGTGGGAAGGGCTTGATGTGGGAGGAGTCTAGAGCCTGGGTGGGTTGGGTCTAATGATGGGAGGTAACCAAGGTTAGGATGGGTCTGGTGGTAGGGAGGCCTGGTCCAGGTCAGTAACACGAGCCAACACACACACACACACACACACACACACACACCCTCCCTCCTCCTTCTCCCTCCCAGCTACCAATTGTTTTGATCTGAATCCTCCTGCTTCAATAAGATGGTGATGTCAGTGGACAAAGAGCCCCCACCCCACCCCCCACCCTTGACCTGTTGCATTCCAGCTGAGACGAAGACACATCAGAGACAAAGCAGCTCCCATCTCCGTTTTAAACCTGGTAGAACATTTCATCATCCTGCAGGATGTTCGAACACAGAGAAATGTGACAGCTACAAGAGGTCATGTGGAGGAACAGAGCTCCTGATTGGACATTTTATATTTGTGTCTTTTTGTGTCCCCAGAGACACCGAGCAGCAGCAGCATGTGTGCACGCTGGAGACAAAAGATATTTAAGAGTGTGTGAGAGGAAAATCAACTGTGTCATCTTTAATTTCTTCTTTCTCTTGAAATGCTGCTAAACTGGTTCTGGTGCCAAGGCAACGGGCCGGGCCTGACTTGGGTTTAACAGAATCTGAATGAATCTGCTGAAAGACTTGGCCCGCTGAGGCAGAACTAAGGCTAGCAGAAGTGTGTGTGTGTGTGTGTGTGTGTGTGTGTGTGTGTGTGTGTGTGTGTGTGTGTGTGTGTGTGTGTGTGTGTGTGTGTGTGTGTGTGTGTGTGTGTGTGTGTGTGTGTGTGTGTGTGTGTGTGTGTGCGTGTGTGTGCACGTGTGCGTGCGTGCCATCGACATAAATGTAGGTGCGTGCGTGCGTGCGTGCGTGTGTGTGTGGACACGTGAGAGTCTTTGTGAGACTGAAATATTCCCTGAGCTCGGTTCTGCTCTTTTTAAAATCATTTTTGAAGAATTTTTGTATTTTTAATTTTTGTTTTTGTGAAGCGACTCTGGATTTTTCTTGAGAGGTGCTATATAAAAGATCGTTTTCTTTATTTCATCTGTTTTCTTTCTCATGTGGTCACAGAGCAGAGGTGACCGCCCATCACAGCCATGTGAGGTAATGGCCTCTGACAGCAGGCGCCTTCGGTCCCGCTCTGAACCCCCGTGACCCTCTGGAACAGGCCGGTGCAGAGCTGGAATACCAGAGCTTCCCAACAACCAATGCTAATCACCATCAAGCTCTGTGGAAATAACATTTTACATCTATTGTTCAGATGCATTTGAGTCCGATGTACAATTAGCTCGGCTCTGAGAAGAGCTTCATTCCTTCTAGAGTAACATTTTTCTCACAGCTTCCAAACATCCAGGCTAAGCCCCGGAGGAGCTCCTCCCATCGCCGCCGGAGGGAAACGAGACTACTCACAGAAACTAACAGTTTGTTGTTGTTTGTTTCTCGGTTTTGAGAATGACGTCAGCAGCACACCGTCCCCACTGTAAATAGTGTTGGTAGCACACTGGTTCCCCTCTTGAGATGCCGGTGTTGGTACCAGATCGGCTCGGGTCCTGCGTCTGCTGATGACGTCACATCACGGCCAATCCACTCGGCTTTCACACGTACGTTTAGGAAAGACATCAGCAGTTTTGTTGATAAATTCTTGTTTGTTACACCTAAATGTCATTTGTTAATAAAACACCGTATTATCATTGTAAAGAATGTGAAACTACATAAACAACAACTGACAGCCAAAACACACAACAGGTCAGTGTATTTCTTAGTTGTTATGTCAATTCCTTCATTCCTTCATTCAAAATGCTGCATGCTGTCTTGTCAATAAAGTTCTTATACTTCATTTTGCCCCATGTCATCAAAACCAAGAGCTTTTGAGGGTCACCGTTTATCAGTTGGTCTCTTTGCTTTTAATTTACATTTCCTTTGGAAATGTAAACATTTACTCTGAAAAGTGTTGATTTGTGGGCTACAGGACTACAACCACTAAGACTACACCCGCTAATGCTACAACCACTAAGACTACACCCGCTAGGACTACAACCACTAAGACTACACCTGCTAGGACTACACCCGCTAGGACTACAACCACTAAGACTACACCCGCTAATGCTACAACTACTAAGACTACACCCGCTAGGACTACAACCACTAAGACTACACCCGCTAGGACTACAACCACTAAGACTACACCTGCTAATGCTACAACTGCTAAGACTACACCCGCTAGGACTACAACCACTAAGACTACACCCGCTAGGACTACACCCGCTAGGACTACAACCACTAAGACTACACCCGCTAATGCTACAACTGCTAAGACTACACCCGCTAGGACTACAACCACTAAGACTACACCCGCTAGGACTACACCCGCTGGGACTACAACCACTAAGACTACACCTGCTAATGCTACAACTGCTAAGACTACACCCGCTAGGACTACAACCACTAAGACTACACCCGCTAGGACTACAACCACTAAGACTACACCCGCTAATGCTACAACTGCTAAGACTACACCCGCTAGGACTACAACCACTAAGACTACACCCGCTAGGACTACAACCACTAAGACTACACCTGCTAATGCTACAACTACTAAGACTACACCCGCTATGGCTACAACTGCTAAGACTATACCCGCTAATGCTAGAACTGCTAAGACTACACCCGCTATGGCTACAACTGCTAGGACTACACCCGCTAGGACTACAACCACTAAGACTACACCTGCTAATGCTACAACTACTAAGACTACACCCGCTATGGCTACAACTGCTAAGACTACACCCGCTAATGCTACAACTGCTAAGACTACACCCGCTATGGCTACAACTGCTAGGACTACACCCGCTAGGACTACAACCGCTAAGACTACACCCGCTAGGACTACAACCGCTAAGACTACAACCGCTAAGACTACAACCGCTAGGACTACAACCGCTAAGACTACAACCGCTAGGACTACACCCGCTAAGGCTACGCCCATAAATTTGTTCTGACCAATCAAAATCTTCATTGCCAACGTGCTAAAGTAACTTTTACGAACGTGGTATCATAACTTCCGTAAGTCTTACGTTCAAACAATCATCATCTGTGATATATTTGGCAGCTGCAGAACCCCGAGCCGGTTTGGTACCAACACCGGATGGTGGACCAGAATCTCCTCAAAGCCTTACAGAAGTCTTGCTCCATGGTCTCACCAAACTCCTCCCACACCCGTGTTTTTGCCTCCGTGACCACCGAGCTGCTTTTCACTTGGACTGCCGGTACCTGTCAGCTGCCTCTGGAGTCCCACAGGCCAGTAAGCCCCGATAGGACTCTTTGTTCAGCTTGACAGCATACCTAACCGCCGGTGTCCACCAGCGGGTTTGGGGGTTTTCGCCACTACAGGCACCGACAACCCTGCAGCCACCGCTCTGGTCAGCCGCCTCGACAATGGAAGCACAGAGCTCAATGTCCCAGCCTTCCCTGGAACGTGTTTGAAGTTGTGTCAGAGATGGGAACTGCAGCTCCTTCTGACTAGAGACTCCACCACACGTTCCCAGCAGACCCTCACAATATGCTTAGGCCTGCCAGGTCTGACCAGCTTCCTCCTCCACCATCGAAGCCAACTCACCACCAGTTTCACAGCTCCGCCCCTCGCTTCACCCACGTGTCCAAGACATGCGGCTGCAGATCAGATGAAACAACAACAAAGTCCATCATCAAATGGCGGCCTAAGGTATCCTAAGGTATCCTGGTGCCAAGAGCACATATGGACACATTTATGTCTGAACACGGTGTTCATTATGGACAATCCATGACTAACACAGAAATCCAATAACAAAACACCTCTCTGATTTAGATCAGGGCCGTTCCTCCCAACCACACCTCTCCAGGTCTCACTGGCTTTGCCCACATGAGCGTTAAAGTCCCCCAGCAGAACGAGGGAATCACCAGAAGGAGCGCTCTCCAGCACCTCCTCCAAGAACTCCAAAAGGGTGGCTGGTCTGAGCTGCAGCTTGGTGCATAAGCACAGACCACAGCCCTGCCCCTCTGGAGGAAACTGGTTCTGGAGCCAGAGCCACGTGTTGAGATGAGTCCAACTATATCTTCTCAGAACCTCTCAACCTCACACACCAACTCCGGCTCCTCCCCCACCAGAGAGGTGACATTCCACGTACCGGAGCCTTTAGCCAAGGATCAGACCGCCACGGTCCTCACCATCGGCTACTGCCCATCTCACACTACATTCAACCCCTTTGGCCCCTCCCATTAGTGGTGATCCCATAGGAAGAGGGACATATATCTCCTCTTCATGCTGTGCCCAGCAGTGCCCAAAGCCTGGCCACCAGGTGGGAGCAGGCGCACACCAGCACGCCCCAACTCCAGACCTGGCTCCAGAAGGGGGCCCCAGTGACCCGCGTCCAGGCGAGGGAACACCGTTTCTATGTGTGGTACTCGTCATAAGGGGTCTGTGGGCTGCACTCAGTCTGATCCCTCACCTAGGACCTGTTTGCTGTGGGTGACCCTACCAGAGGCATAAATCCTCAGACTGAGCTCCTAGGAGGACCGGGACACTCAAACCCCTCCACCACGGTTTGGTTGTAGCTCAGCATTCAAC